AGCACCTTCCGATCAATGAGGTTCACGGTGAATCCAGTGAATCCTGTTGTCGTGTGCTCATTGTTACACCTGCTTTGCCATAAAATTGATCCTGTGGTTTGAGGCAATAGAGTACACAATACTGTGGATAGGAGTCGGCTCTTATTTTACAGAAAAGGAAATGAGGCCGGGAGAGGGGAGTGTTTGATTCCAAATTACCCAAATTCCAGGCACCCTTTGTGCTGGAAGTGAAGTCTCCCGACTGGACCCCTCTCCACAACATCCCTCCTTCCCAGCGTTATCCGTCATTCAGTCTTCATTTAATACATATTCACCGAGCGCCAGGCACTGAAGCTTAGTGCTCCAATTTTAAATCTTTCTTTAACTGCAAGAGAATGCGTGAGATTGGAGTGGATGGTTGGCTCTGCAGATTTAAAGCAAAAAAGGCCGCCCCCCCGCCCCCCGCCCATGCAGACCTGCCCATTGCAAACAGGGTGGGTAAACCCAGCTCCAAGTGTTCACACACAGCGTGCACGCGTGCACACACATGCACAGATACACACATGCATGCACACAATATACAAATGCGCATACGTGTGCTCCCGTGCATAGCACATAAAACACCCTGGGAACAATGGACACTGCCAAGTGTTGTTGTGAGTGTGTGGTAGGAGCTGGGGCTTTGGGGACAAACCAGTGGGGCTACGATCCTGGCTTCCCTGCCCTCCAGTGGTGCCCCCTACAATGCACGACCTGGGCCTCAAATTCCTCATCTGTAAACTGGGGCTAAAACAACACTCGCTTCATAGGATTGCTGTGAGCCCTGAATTCGACAGCATATGTTAAAGCACCAAGTCTGTGTCTGCACACAATCGGCACTCAGTAAGTGTTTGCCCACTATGTCTCAAGAACATGAAGCCAGACAAGAAAGAGCACAGCGTGGTCAGGGCTGCAGGAGGGTGGCCCCGGGGCCTGGGGGGCATAGAAGAGGGAGCAACGGACCCTGTGGAGGTCAGGGAGCCTTCCCAGAGGTCAGCCTGGATTGAAGGATGGTGAGGATGGAAGGCGTGTTGAGACGAGGGCTCGGCGTCCCAGAGGCTGGGGGACATGACATGAGAGGGCACCCAGCCCTCAGGAGCAGCACATGGAGCTGGTGTCAGCTGATCTCGCTGGAGTGACCGGCTCTGTCTCTTCCAGGTGCCCAGACAGATGACAACAACCCCCGGCGCACCGGCCACCGCATCGTGGCGCCCCCTGGTGGCCGCTCCAACATCACCAGCCTCGGGTGAAGGCAACTTGTGGATGAGCGAGCGTGAAGGATTCTGGGAAGGATGTCCATCCCTTGCCATGTCAGTGTTTGGAAACCCACAGTATCGTTTGGTACTGATGGGGGGAAAATGGAATGATGTTCTTTCCTTTTTGGTTTAGGAAGAAGTGGTACTAGTGTGGTGTGTTTGCTTGGAAATCCCTTGCCCACAGTCGTGTGTTCATCTGAGTCCACCTCAGAGCATGGTGTCTCCAGGCCCCTCCTTAGTGAACACAGGTTCCAGCCTCGTCTTGCACTGTCCCTCCCACTTCTGACGCCACGGGCTCCGCGATTCTCTGAGTGGTTCCTTTGCACCCCTGTAGCTGTTCTAGGATAGTTGATGCATGTTACTAAGTTATGTCTGCGAGTCTGTGAGTGCGTCCGACAGAAGACAGCCGAGGCCCTACATAGACACGAAGCCCAGACCTCAAGTCCTCGGGGGCAGCTCCAAAACTCATAGCAGGAAGATGTGTCCTCATCGTCCCCTCCCCCAGGTCTACACGAGAAGGAAGCCCACCCCACCGCCAGAGAAGCATCACTCTCGTCCTGTGTCAGGAACCCTGGTCTCCGTGGCACCTGTAACTCGCCATGACGTCTTTCCGGTCTGTGTGTGTCCTTCCATCCCGCTGCAGACTGCAGGCCTAGCCAGGTTCACACTCAGAAAGGGGTCTCCCACCCTCATTCAGGGCTGACCACGGTGTGGCCACAGCTTCTCCCGGCGCCCGTGTCCTGGTCCCTCCCAGGCGGATGACGAGGCCGTCAGATTTTTAAAGTTTTGTACATAGTTTTCCTTTGTAATCACCCTCATTTTTACTTAACAACTGACTTATTGTGACTCTTATTTCTGAATTCAAAGCTTGTGAAAAAATAAAGAAAATAAATGGCCCACTCCCTGACTGGGGTGTTTGCATTTAAGCGATGGCTGCTCAGGTGCTCATGCTTTGTGCTCCCCTTTGTAGTAACGGGACAGCGGTGCTTGCTTCCGCAGGACTCGCTCTTGTTAGGTAGCCGGGGGAGCGGAGGAGGGAGGAGAGGGAGCCAGTCATGATTTGGGGAGTGTTAGGTCATGAGAACAAGGATGGGAAGAGGAGGGCGATGGCTGGCCAAGGGCTTCTGTGAAACAGGTTGAAATCACATCATGTCCCTTCCCTCCTGCCCAGTCTTTGCTTGGTGTGCTGTCTCTTCCTGTGTGTTATGTGGGTCAGACTGCCTCTGATTGGAAGTGCCCAGCTCCTAAACTTCACATTTCTGACCTCCAGTCCCACAGGAGGTATACATTCTAAGGAGGAGTAAAACCTCAAAGTTGTTTGTCTTGATTACCAGTTAGTAGTGATGGTGATGCTGCTGCTGCTGATGCTGATGCTGATGGTGGTGATGATGGTGATGATGCTGATGCTGATGGTGGTGGTGGTGATGATGCTGATGGTGATGTCACGTGATGATGCTGATGGTGGTGGTGATGGTGGTGATGGTGATGCTGCTGATGCTGATGGTGATGGTGATGATGGTGATGCTGATGCTGTTGGTGGTGGTGGTGATGATGCTGATGATGATGTCACGTGATGATGGTGATGGTGATGATGGTGGTGATGGTGATGCTGCTGCTGATGGTGGTGATGATACTGATGGTGATGTCACGTGATGACGGTGATGGTGATGGTGATGGTGGTGGTGGTCGTGGTGATAATGATGGCGGCATTATCTGTACAGCACATGCTACATGTCAGGTGCTCTGTAAGGTAGGCACTATTATTAACATTATTTACAGATGAGTCCTAGAGAGGTCAATAATTCATCTAAGATTACACAGGAAATGGCACAGCCAGTATTTAAATCCGGGACCCACATGTCCAAAGCTCCTTGATTCTAACTGCTAAGCTTTGTCATTTGAGGCAGGATGGCTTTGGATGGTCGTACATCTACTTTATGCTTTTAGTGTCTTCTCTCCCCACCCTCACTGGGTTAGGATACTTTAAGGTCCAGAGACGTGGTGGCTTAGGGTCAGTTATGGATTTTCTTGAAACAAAGCTAAATACTAAGAAAGATCAAGAATGGAGGGTAATGACTTGATATTTGGCTGTGGCCCATTGGGACTACTAGAGGACATCGCAGAAACTTCCAGAAGAGTAAAGTTGGCAACAATAAGTTACCCACCCTGCTCTCTGGAAAGCACTTCCTCTCTCCCGCATCACCCCCGCAGCCCGTCAGGGAGCAGAAGCTGAAGTGGAAGCAGCCTTAACATCCTCCCTCTAGGACAGACTCTGATGGGGCCTTTGCCCGGCTGCCAAGTCACCGGACCACTGCCCAGTCAGCATCACCTGCTGAGGTTGCCAGCACCCCTGTCCTACATTAGCTTCCCAAGAGGCACAGGCACAGGGGTCCTGGCAGCTGCAAGACAGACAAGCCTTAATTCTAGGAGGCTGAGCTGCAGCATTCCTTTTTTTTTTTTTTTTTTTTTTTTTCTCCGGTTACGCGGGCCTCTCACTGTTGTGGCCTCTCCCGTTGCGGAGCACAGGCTCCGGACGCGCAGGCTCAGCG